GCTGGGGAGAAGCAGGATTTGGTCTCCGGCAGCGTGGGGCACATCATCAGCCCGCACGGGTCCTGGGACTGCCCCCGCGCCCTGCTGGGGTTGCGTTACGGATGGTGCTGCAGCCAACAGGCACTCCCAGCTGGTGCCCAGGGACCAGCAGGCAGCCCTCGCTGACTGTTCAAGCGGTGGGAACACCGGAGCAGCCATCTCCCGCCCCGCCAGCCTCAGCTGGGAAGTCCCCAGGTAGTGGGATAATGAGCAGCACACGCGCCGGGATCTCGCAGCCGCGGGAGGACACGCCGCTGTGGCAAGGAGCCTGGGCAGGGTAATTACAGCTGCCCCACGTCAGCGGTGCCGAACAGAGGGTGCTGGCAGGCAGCACCCAAACACCATGGCGAGCACACGCATGTGATTTCCCAGCCTCCCACCACCGGCGCGGGACCATCTGTGCGCAGATTCCCACGCGCGGAGCCGGGTGTGCAACACGTGTGGGCCCCATCCCGCGTGTGGGGGTCCCAGCGGCGGGCACACACGTGGGTGGGGGTATTTGCACCTGTCGCCCCCCGTGCCTGGCCGGCAGGCTGCAGCTCCTGCGGCTTTGCAAAGGTGGGAGCGGGGAAGAGCTGGAGGCATGTGTCCAAGGCACAGCAACAGCACCCCTGCAGCAGGAGGGAAGACAGCTGGGTGTCTCTGCCTCCTCACTGTGCTGTCACCCCCTGCCCAGGTGGCCCAGGATCCCATCGGCAGTGAGGAGGATCTGCTCTGCTGCTGGACAGCAGTGCAGCTCTGCCTGCGAGCCAGGGGCACCGCAGGGAGATCCCCCCCTTTGCAGGTCCCTGCATCACTGAGCATGAGCCTGGCCTCATCCTGCCCAAGGCTTGGGTAGAAGTAGGGAGGAGACGGTGCAGAGGGACTGGGATCATGGAGAAGAGCCAAAAGAGAGGTGTGGGCCGCAGCTCTCAGTGCATCAGTCATGCCAGTAACCACGCTGGTGCTCCTGATCCCCAGTGTGCCGGCAGCATCTCCCCACAGGACCGTGGGGCTCTGGGTGGTCCATCACCAGCCACCCTGCAGTGTGGCAGGGCAGCCTGGGCAGCAGCAGGGCAGCTGGTGTACAGGCCTGCTGTAATCCCCCCAAAAATGAGGTTTCCCTGAGTGCTCATGGCATGGTCACCCCTCTTCCCCACGCCACTGCTGGTGGATCCTAGCCTGTCTCCCTGTCTCCTGTCCTCTCCCAAGGCCGCTCTGTGTGTCTCCTGCCAAAAAAAAAGGCTGCTGCGTGCCTGGAGTCTGGAGGGTGTCACGCCTGTCATAGCTTGTGTTTGTTCTCAGCCCCACTGTCCTCCCTCTCCTTGCTGCATAGCCAGACCCTGCCTGTACACCCAGGCACTGAATGGCTTCACCCCGGGCTCCATCTCCAGACCCTGCTGCCTTTCCACTGGCCCCAAGGCTCTCCAGATACCCCAAACCTGCTCTGCACTCTCCAGGACCCTCTTTCCCCCGTGCCCTGCCTGACCCATTGGCTGTGCAGGGTGGGACATCACCCCCAAAAGACCCTGGCCCGGCTCAGTGTCCTACCAGGCTTGGGGGGTCTCCTCTCTTACAGGAACCCCTGAATGTGGGGAGGGGGGACTAGAGGCATCCTCACCCCAAAGCAGCCCAGCTACCCAAGCAGTCCTTGTGTCCCCATGTGTCCCCAGTGTCTCCACTGCTATTTGTGGCCACCCCCAAGGTGCCCAGCGGTCGGGACTGGTGCCACTGCCCGGCTCACCTTGGCCTGATGTACCGGGGCCTCGACCTTGCTGCTGGGTGCCAACACGGGGGCTATTTTTAGTTCTCCCCCATGGAGGAGCTAAATCTGGGCACGGGCCAGACCTGTCTGCCAATGCCTGGCTCCATTGAGCCCTGCCAGCACTGGGGGCTGTCACAGCGGGTGGTGGGCACCTTCCCATCCCCTTCCTTTCCCTTGCCCCAACACCCTGCACTCCTGCCCTGGGCAGCACCCATTCTACATGCTGTTCTGATGGGGATTTGCTCCTTGCTGCTTCATCCCTGCAGCAAAATACTGAGCCAGAAAACACTTCATCCCCCTAGCTCCCATGGACTCATCTTTCCCAGCCCCATGCAGCGCTCTGCATGGGGAAACTGAGGCAGGGAGGCAAGGCTGGTGCAGCTGTTGTGGGGATCGTCCTGTCTTGGGAGGGAGGATGAGGGCACTGGTGGGATGGAGCTGGTGGCCAGCACGCAGGCACCCCAGGAGAAGGAAGCAGGGCAGAGCATCCCGAAGCAAGCAGCTGCCAGTCCCTGCAAGGCTCCGAAATCTCCTCGCTCCCATGGCAGCAGGAGCGGGGAGCACTCGTGGCTCGTGCTGGGGTTACGGGGTGCCAGGTTTGCCTGTGAGGGTGGTGGTGGGTGTGGGGTGGCGGGTTTCGCGTGGGTGGGTGTATTGCAGCGTGGTGGGGGCGTTGTGGTGTCTGGGAGCGCGGCATGGATGCGGTGGGGAGCAGCACAGGGTGGATGTGTCAGGGGTGGATGTGCTACGGCATGGCTAGCGGCATGGGGTGGGTGTTACGGCCCGGCAGGGGGGCGTGCGGGCTGGGGGTGTTGCAGTGGCTGTGGGCATGGCGTGGGTGGTGGCTTTGCGTGCAGGGATGT